TCAGTACACCGACAAAGTTAAGTGTCAGAAATGTGTTAGTTTCAAACATTTTTGTCTCATGCTATTCATCATGTTCATCTATGGGTCCTTATATGATTATGTTGAACATATTTTTTACATTTTTAAATAACATTAACTTTGCCAAAAATGTATGTCCTTCAAATCAGCAGTGTTTGCTATTTTTCAGTACTTTTATATGAAACGAGCAGACTAAACTTCATGTTAGTTATTTCCCATAGAAGAAAAGTGGGCCTGAATCTAGCTACAACACAATGGCCCGAATTCACAAAGCAAGGTTTGAGCTCAGACTAAGGTTTGAGCTCAAACCTCCTTTTGTTTCGTCAAACCTCCTTTTGTTCTTTACAAACCAGGTTTGTAAAAAACGCGTAAAACGCATCATATGACGTACGAAAACCAAGGTTTGTCAACAAACCTCCTTTGTGAATTCGGGCCAATGAGACCGAAAAGAATACGACCAACGGCCCGCAAGAGCTACAATGACAGTTCCGTGGGCCTCCTGAAAAAAATATATGAAGGTTCTACTACCATGATTTTGCATTAGCTGTTGCAATTAAGGACATTATACATGCGTATTATTGTAATCGGAGTCTTTAGTCTTAATATTTAGACAATCATTTAGTCTTGAAAATGTCTGAAAATAGTTTGTTATTCAGTATTTATTATATCAAAATGTACTCATTGAAAATCGCCGACGATATGTATATTGGAGCACAAGCATATACATGCATTACAGTACGCCACTTGTCAAAACGGTTTCGTATAAGCAAGAATTATACCCAGCCTGAATAAAGATACATAGCCTAATACAAAGGAATGTTAACACCAGGGGAGGGGCCGATGTGGTGTCCAATGTTATCATTTGTACATTGTTATCAGTATGGTATACGTGCTCTGTTTAAAGTTAAAGAGGTACATTTTGTGAATTAATGTAACAGCATATAGCAGTGTGGCGAATAATCAATGCTCATGTCTGATTTATGTTTGTATATATATCATTAAAATATATTGCATTTTCTCTGTCTAAGACCACCATCTGTTTCTCCACAACAACAAAAGTCACTATTTCTTCTACTTCTACTAGTACAGTCAGGCGCGTACGCAGCTACTACTACTACTACTACTACTACTATACTATTTAATTTAGCTAATTCTGCTACTACTATTTCTTCGTGTTATACTACTACTACTACTACTACTACTACTGTACTACTACTACTACTACTACTACTACTACTGCAGCTGCTGATTCTGCTATTACTACCAGCACCATCACTACTGATTAATTATTCGTGTACTATATAATGGGTTTTGGTGTTGCGGTACCTATTTTTCTTCGTATGTGAACGCCCGACTTTGTTATCGGGGTTATTTGTTGTTATCAATTGCTTTGATTGTGCTGTATCTGCTATCTATACCCAAGACCTACTTATTCGGATTAACAATAACATGTAATGTTTGATGGGAGAAGAAAAAACATTTAGTGTTCATTATCTCATCATTTGGGATGAGAGTATCGAGATGCAATGCAAATACTCGAACAATAACTTGAAGGATAAAAGAAAGACCCGATTCTTTTTTTTTCTTCAGAAGTGCCCCATCTTTGCCTTGATATTTCAACAATGATATTTCTTTCGATTTTATATTTGGGCAGGGGCGGCGATTTCTTTTCATGACCGGGGGGACGAAATGCAAGATTTTTTACAATATTTGCTTGTACATTTTGAAGTAAATTATGCGAGAGAGCGTAAATACACTACGAGAAGTTTTCTGCATTTTTATAAGTCTACATGCTGCACTCTTGCCCCCCCCCCCCCGAGCCTAAAAGTGTGTTGCAGTCTCAAGTCAGTATTTGCTATGCATTTTTGTTTGCACTCTTTTAAATTTTCTGCGAGGGGGGGGGGGGGAACATGTTCCCCGTCCCCCGGGATCGCCGCCCCTGTATTTGGATAATGATCAAGGGTAAACCTCAGTCCGTACAAATTACCTCTTCATGTGCCAATCATAAAATGCCATTTCGCTACCTTTTCTTTTCATAAAACGTTTTAAACTAATTCATGGTTCATATTTTGATATTTCTTAGATAATTCATATTTGAATTAATCTTATGTAACATGTCTTATTAAGACCTTTTTGTTTTGCTGGTTTAATAATTATTACCAATTGTTCAGTTTGTGCCGACTGGCCCTCTCGAAAATTGGCTAATGAGTAATGTGGTATTTAGAAGGTTGATTTTTAACGAGGTGTTAGATGTCATTACCACATGATTTGTTCATCTTTTTAGATAAACCACTTTGTATGTGACAGTTCAATACGATATTTTGTTGAGCATATAGAATATTGTTGTTTTTCTTCTGTACAAGACAATATAACGTCTGAAATATGTACACTGCTGTCGTTGAAAGGCTGGTACACAAATAAATGTATGTGTTGCTTTATTTTCTTGTGAATTTGATTATTGTGTTAACTCCAGTCTAGCGTGACAACAGCGTGGCTACCAGTAGCTCCTCCCTCATACACAAGCTTTCATTCTACCAGCAGCCCCTCCCTCATACACAGGCTTCCATTCTACCAGTAGCCACTCCCTCATACACAGGCTTCCATTCTACCAGTAGCCCCTCCCTCATACACAGGCTTCCATTCTACCAGCAGCCCCTCCCTCATACACAAGCCTCCATTCTACCAGTAGCCACTCCCTCATACACAGGCTTCCATTCTACCAGCAGCCCCTCCCTCATACACAAGCTTCCATTATACCAGTAGCCCCTCCCTCATACACAAGCCTCCATTCTACCAGTAGCCACTCCCTCATACACAAGCGTCCATTATACCAGTAGCTCCTCCCTCATACACAAGCCTCCATCCCTCCCTTATACACAAGCTTCAATTCTAGCAGTAGCCCCTCTCTCATACACAAGCTTCCATTATACCAGTAGCCCCTCCCTCATACACAAGCTTCCATTCTACCAGCAGCCCCTCCCTTATACACAAGCTTCCATTCTACCAGTAGTCCCTCCCTTATACACAAGCTTCCATTCTACTAGTAGCCCTTTGCTCATGCACAAGCTTCCATTATACCAGTAGCCCCTCCCTCATACACAAGCTTCAATGCTACAATGAGCCACTCCCTCATACACAAACCTCCATTCTACCAGTAGCCTCTCTCCCATACACAAGCCTCCATTCTACCAGTAGCCACCAGTAGCCTCTCCCTCAAACACAAGTTTCCATTCTACCAGTAGCCACTCCCTCATACACAAGCGTCCATTATACCAGTAGCTCCTCCCTCATACACAAGCTTCCATCCCTCCCTTATACACAAGCTTCAATTCTAGCAGTAGCCCCTCTCTCATACACGAGCTTCCATTCTACCAGCAGCCCCTCCCTTATACACAAGCTTCAATTCTAACAGTAGTCCCTCCCTTATACACAAGCTTCCATTCTACTAGTAGCCCTTTCCTCATACACAAGCTTCCATTATACCATTAGCCCCTCCCTCATACACAAGCTTCAATGCTAACATGAGCCACTCCCTCATACACAAGCCTCCATTCTACCAGTAGCCACTCCCTCATACCAGTAGCCTCTACCTCATACACAGGCTTCCATTCTACCCGTAGTCACTCCCTCATACACAAGTTTCCATTATACCAGTAGCTCCTCCCTCATACACACGTCCCAATTCTACAGTTCGCCCCTCCCAAATACACAAGCTTCCATTATACCAGTAGCTCTTCCCTCATACACAAGCTTCCATTCTACCAGTAGCCCCTCCATCATACACAAGCTTCCATTTTACTAGTAGCTCCTCCCTCATACACAAGCTTCCATCCCTCCCTTAAACACAAGCTTCCATTCTACCAGTAGCTCCTCCCTCATACACAAGCTTCCATTCTACCAGTAGCTCCTCCCTAATACACACGTCCCAATTCTACAGTTCGCCCCTCCCTCATACACAAGCTTCCATTCTATCAATCGCCACCCCCTCCCCATACACAAGTTTGGACTGACCGACAGCTCCTCCCAAACAAGCTTCCATTTACGAAAGTCACTCCCTCATACACAGGCTTCCATTCTACCAGCAGCCCCTCCCTCATACACAAGCTTCCATTATACCAGTAGCCACTCCCTCATACACAAGCTTCCATTCTACCAGCAGCCCCTCCCTCATACACAGGCTTCCATTCTACCAGCAGCCCCTCCCTCATACACAAGCCCCCATTCTACCAGTAGCCACTCCCTCATACACAAGCTTCCATTATACCAGTAGCCCCTCCCTCATACACAAGCTTCAATGCTACCATGAGCCACTCCCTCATACACAAGCCTCCATTATAGCAGTAGCCCCTCTCTCATACACAAGCTTCCATTATACCAGTAGCCCCTCCCTCATACACAAGCTTCAATGCTACCATGAGCCACTCCCTCATACACAAGCCTCCAATCTACCAGTAGCCACTCCCTCATACACAAGCCTCCATTCTACCAGTAGCCACTCCCTCATACCAGTAGCCACTCCCTCATACACAAGTTTCCATTCTACCAGTAGCCACTCCCTCATACACAAGTTTCCATTATACCAGTAGCTCCTCCCTCATACACACGTCCCAATTCTACAGTTCGCCCCTCCCTCATACACAAGCTTCCATTATACCAGTAGCTCCTCCCTCATACACAAGCTTCCATTCTACCAGTAGCCCCTCCATCATACACAAGCTTCCATTTTACTAGTAGCTCCTCCCTCATACACAAGCTTCCATTCTACCAATAGCTCCTCCCTCATACACACGTCCCAATTCTACAGTTCGCCCCTCCCTCCCCATACACAAGTTTGGATTGACCGACAGCTCCTCCCAAACAAGCTTCCGTTTACGAAAGTCCCTCTGGGCCTTTGCAATATTTGGACACACTTTCTGATTTCAAATCTTCCACTTATTAAATTACCAGCCATAGCAATAACAAAGAAAAGACTATTTGCGATGTTTTTTCATTATCATTACACTTTTATTTACATCATAACAATAATAGTACGAGTCATTCTAGTCCCTTAAATAGAGCAAATTCAGTTCTTTTAGTTCTTGTATTATATCAATATGAACAATACAACAAGACAGTTATATTGAGAATTTACTGGATGTTGGAAACAGACTCAAATATTTCATAAATCGATGTCGACTGTCACCTGTTTTACGGGCAAAATATTTAGGCTATGTACATTATCTAAGCCCTCATTCCGATAACGTTTATTCAATAAAATTTCTTTATTTTCCAGTTTGCTTAAAAACCTAGCCCGCCCCATCTTCTGAGGTTCCGTCATATTCTATGTTTGGCGAAGCTAAGTCTTTATTCCTCGCAGCTAGTAAGGAAAAAAAATAGTTCAATAATATAGCCTAGATCTGGAGTTTTGTTCAAATGTTTACACTCTATTTTATCGGGAAACGTGGACGGAACTTAAACATAACTGGTACATGTACTTTATGATGCAAGTGGACCATAGCCATAGCTGTAACATAAAAATCGACGTACAATCAGTCTTCAAAATTTATTGTATCTCCAACTTTGCTGCTATAAATTGTATTATACCATCAATTGTTTGATGTGTTCCCATCTGTGACTTCAATCAATTGTAATTTACTTCCTACTGTAAAGGTGCGATTTATTGAAGGAGGTTCCTTTGGGGTGAGATACAATGAATCGTAATTTGTTTGTATTACAGGACCCATACTAGACAAGTTTAACTTTAATTATTATTTTCTTGTTGCTACCAGGACTTGCTTATCATATGGACATGATGGAAGTAAGTTCGTCGGGGACTCTCCAGATATTATGTTCTTTTTTTCAGGATATCAATGAATTCATACAGATTTATTAGTTCGGTCTGTAAAACAATCCATTACTCTCAACAGGAAATTATTTTAGCAAACACGCAAAAGTAGTTATACATAAATCATTTCTCGAATGCACATTGTGATATCCTTAGGGAGAAGTACGATAGAACATCAGTATATACATATAATTGAATTCCTCCCGAGAAATCAGTATCATTATAGAAATGGTAAAATAAAATGTTTATAATATAATTTCTAAATCGCCATCTACCTACGTTAAATTTATTTAATAATACATACCATAGTATTTATTTTTTCTTGACTCAGTGGCTGTTGTGCATATTCACACGACCTGTAGCCTATATTCATAGATAGCCCAGATATGGAAGCTGCTCATGGCTTTGTCCAAAATCTCTATCTCATCAGTCTCTCTAGTCTACCTTGGAATAAATATATTTACACCACTCTCCTCCGTGCTTTCTATGTCGGCCCGTCACCAGCCATTATTAATCTTATTGTTCGTATTCAGCGCGCTCGCGCTCACACTGTACGTCGCATTCCGGGACTCGTCGCTGTTGGCGCTGTCGCGAAACCTCTGCTTGTTGGCTTGCAGGTAGGCGTCCAATCCGGGTGCGTCGCCCCAGTCGATGACGCACGGCCCGTTCCAAGCTGACTCGGAGTTCGCGTGGTAGCTCTTCTCCTTGACACGGTACGACTGACTGCGGATGTTACACTCGATGATAGAGAGGGAACTCCAGGCGCTGCGGACCTCTTTGGACCGGACGCAGAACAGGGCGAAGATGATAAAGCCTTGGAAACTGTTGAAGATGCAGAAGAGGAGACGGAAGGCGAAGGTGGCGTCGCCCACGGCTAGGAAGCCAAACGACCACGTCAGACCAAGCAGGACAGACATGCAGACAGCGTTCTGAAGCCTGGATATCACCTGGAAGACATTACGTGTTTTGGATAGGAAGAAAGCATAGAAACAATGATTGTGATAAAACCTTATCATAATGTACAGATATTATTTTTGGTTACTATTAAAATCCATCCCACAAAAATCAATATAATGAAAATTAATTGTAACAGAACCGTTGTAATCAACAGCTAAAAAAAAGCCAGACCAAAGGTTGCCAGAGAAGCTGTTACAGGCATTTTAAATGAAAAATAGCAAAATATTTTACAGTTGAGAAAATATGTGATTCGTTTTTGCTCAATACGCCACTGGCAGTACTGTCTAGTATAATGAAGATCATTTATTACACGGGAGAGGATCAGTAGTAGTTTTTATTATGAACGGGAAACCTCAGTGAACATACGGATATGCTAGACCACATCACGAAAAAAAACATGCTGGAGCACAATAATAGGGACTTTTAGATTCTGCACGACGAGAACGTGGACTGCCCTTTTAAGGCAATGTGACGTCCTTTTAAGGCACTCGCAGTGACGTCACATTGCCTTAAAAGGGCAGTCCACGTTCTCGTCGTGCAGAATCTAAAAGTCCCTATTGTTGCTTGAGCATCCCCCACTCACCTGCTCTCTCTTTGTTTTGTTGACGGAGTTGCCGCTCATATCAGAACAAAGCAAGTTTCTAATGGCCAAACTGAACGTGATGATGTTATGAAGTAAAATCACACCGATCGGGAGAAGCAATCCATAGTACATCACGTGACTAGGCATCAGAAAACAGCTGAAAGAGAGGGAAAGATCAATACAATATTCAGTGATAATTGCAAAAATCATTTATTTCCTTGTGGAATGTGACCCATAGGCTATGACATTTGTCTATGTATCTCTTGATAATAATAACTGTGTTTTACAGAGCGCTTTATCAGTTACAATCGACCAATGGGCTTATACAGTATTATCTCCCGGGTGCATTCTTTTCTTCTGCGGCACAGATTGGGGCTTTTTTTTTTAAAAGAGGCCTTGATTTAACCCTAACCCTAACCCCAACACGCACCTAACCCCAATCTATGCCGCCGAAAAAATAACGCCTCCCGGGTGACTTGTTAAGAACGGTAAAAAGTACTCCATCACAAAGCTCATCTCATGTCAGTTCGTTTGCATGTGTGGGAGGCACACGCAAGCCCCCCCCCCCCCTACACACAACACACAGCACATTGTTACGCGCACACACGAACGCACACCTAAGTCATTCAGGACACAGATGAAAATCACAAATTTTGGGGGAGGTAAAACCTCTATAGGGAATCCAATAATAACAACGGGTCATCAGAAACTCGATAAACCTGACATTATTTCTATAAAAAACACAATTACATCATTCTATATGTTCAATAAGAATCAGTAAGTATAGAATTAGTAAGTATAGAATTAAAGTTACTAAGGTATGATAACTCACTAGCTTTTGTTTCGATAGCTTTCGGTGGACAATCCTACAGCAATGGCTACAGGGATTACTGGAATACCTAGTACGAAAGAAACAAATAAAACAATAATATGAAATCAAGTTGTTGTTATTATCATACAAGCAAAAGTACATGTTAGAAGTCTTTGAATAAGCTGTTGTTGTTTGTAATAACACGAATGGGACTATTCATTTATTGCGGGGATGCGGAGAATAATATGACTTTCTATCTTTCAAGAAATCTTTCTGCAAAATAGAACTACGAGTCACGTTTTAATCAAAGCTATGAAAAAAATGGTCCTTAGCGACATGTCGTCGTATTACTCGAGGCATTTCATTATTAATATTCCATTACCGGTGCACCGAGAATGGTAACATGTAGCACAGGTAACAGAAGCAATTAGGGGGTTATTGAAACTGAGAGCTGTAGAAATTAATCAAACCCTAATAAAGATAGGAAATATGACTTACACAGGGTAACGTCTTGACATATAAACAAATACATTACAGGAATATGAAGGAAGGATAACATTGAATTCTTAAGGTGTTCAAATTAAAAAAAGTCTTGTTTAAAGGCGCTTGGAAGAATTTTGGCCTATAATACGGTGATCCAAATTTGGTCCGGCAACAATTGCTCCGAGTTTAATTTCGTCCAAGGTATAGGTTTAGGGTTAGGTATAGTGTTGGGTATAGGAATGAAGTAAGGCCTATGTCTCTGGTTAGTGTAGAAAATCACAGTTGATCCGAGTAATTGTAGCCGCAGTGGCATATACAAAAAGTTTGTTTCTCTGTTTACGTCATCGGGAGAACCCTTTCAGCTTGTACGTACCCCAGGCGACGAGGGCGGCCTTGATGACGAACCTTGACCTCTCGCTCTTGAAGACTTTGACGAGCATGACGTACATATGACGCGCTTCAACCCCCATCCACATGATAGTGACCAGGACGAGATAGTGAAGCAAGGCAGCCACGACCATGCAGGCGTACTGGATGCGCGTCGCGACGATCCCACATATGAACACGACGTAGAGGATGAGGAGAGCGATACAGAGGTGGATTAGGATTTGACGAGAACGATTGGTACGCAGAGATCTGTGGGAGACAAATCGGTTTAAGATATCAAATCGAGTTACTTCTGCCAATTAAAAGAATTGGTCTAAATCTCCGAGAAAAACAAACTTACTAACCTAAATAGTTGGTCATGCAATATCGACGTCCTCATAAGTCTTTATTATTTCGGGGAAAGAAGTAACATAATGGTGAGAACATTTTTGACGGACAAAAAAAAAAGGCCTTTCAAATTTTGAGGTCCCTTTTTAGCTTACTCCAAAAAATAAAATGAAAGTGAACAACACCAAAGTTTTATCACCTCAAAAAGGGGGAGTTTTACTTTAGGTATGTCACTTGGGTTTCAAGGGGGGTACCTGCCGGATGCCCAATCCATCAAGTCCGACACTGTTTTTTGGCATTAGATCTCTTTGCTTATATTCTGTTCACTTATCAGTAAGCGATAATTTAACTACAGTTTTCAAAATTGAGTGTAAATTGTGATAAATGCCTTTTATTTTTCTTCACCACCGAGACAAAGGAGTGGAAATTGATTTTTTGTTTAGAGTTAACCTTTTTTTAATGAAATTCACAGCCGAAGTTCCATTTGACAAACGCTATTACAACTATAAATAATCAAATGCAGTGAACAGTAGACAGTAGAAGGAGGTGATAGGTGGAAAGCAAAACTCATGTTCGGAACGCAGGATCTATAACAACAAGTAAGTCTTTTGACATCATTACCATATATATTCGTACTTTTGCATAGTCACAGGAAAGAAATTTTAGAATTGAAAAAATGTGTCATCAAATATCATGCAGTTAAAACTTGTAAACAAAATATTTTCAGTTTTCAAAAGAGAAGAGAAGAGAAGAAAAATATTAAAAAAACACGTAACATATATATGTTTTATTCAAGATTCATAACCAACTAGTAAGCTGTGAAATTATTGGATATACCGATTTCTGTAGTTTGTCGAGGTTAGCAGAAATCTTTTCAAAACAACTGCAGATTTGTATCCAAGCAACCAACGGAACTACCGAGAGTAGTTCTACTTGTCGTCATAACCAAGATTCAAAAATAATCTTACTTGAATAAGAGGAAGGTCAGTATGGTGAAAGAAAGACCAGCAATGGACAAGAAACAGCCAATTCTTGTAATGATGTCTAGAGCGAACTTTTCCTTCTGGTTGATGTCTAATTGACCATGGATATCCTATCAAAGAAAACAGAAATTAATGAAATTACAGATTTGATTCCGCTCAGTGCCAATTTCAACGGATGCACAAAGTTCTTTGAAACTTAGCTGGGTGAAGAAACGGTAAAATATTCCCGGGGTGTTTCACAGAGATCCTGAGTCGAACTTAACTCTAAGTTGGACTTAAACATTATAGAGATCCATTTGTAGCCTTAAAACAAAATACATTCAAATAAAAAAAATCAAGTATTTTAGACTTTTCATAAATTACACATCAATAACATGAAATTTCCTTGATAATAGAAAATATGAATGATTTGAATTAACATTTGATGCCTTTAAAAAATAAGTTTTACAAAATATTTTCAAAGATGCTAACGGCTTTTCATTATTTTTAAGTCCAACTTATAAATAAGTTCAACTTAGGATCTTTGTGAAAAAAAAACCCGAGTCAGATATTTTCTTGAAGCAATCATGAATATCAATAGCACACGAATGGATAGTTGAACGACGCCCACGAGTTCAAAGACCTTCATGAGCCAATACCAATAAACCGTTCTATATAGAATTGCATAATAATACAGAAGGAATAATCATCAGTTTACATATTGTGTCTTTGTTATGTTTGTACATTTCAAAAGGAGTGACGCACGAGGTTATTAAAATTGCCTTAGGTTGACGTTTAGAACGTTTTTGCGACCGTGTTGTTTAAAGAATGATGGTCTTTTGAGCATGATTTAGAATTCAGGTTTCTCAAGCGTTCAATTGTGGTAGTATAACACATTTTTATTCGCAATAGCCTGTTCAGAAGCCTCTTTCTTGCTGCACCTATATATATATAATTGTCCAGCACCTGGGAACTATGTCTTACCGACTTTGGACATTAAAAAAAATACTATTGTATTGTATACAATTGTAATTACGCACAATATCGACTACAAATTCAATACCTACCACTAACACAGCGAAATTTGTCAGATGGTTGCAGAAACAAATAATACCGCCATCGGTGCGACGACCAGCAAATTGGCACCCTTCATTCGACCAATCACCTCGCCCTTGGTTCAGTCCGAAATCCCAGAACACACACTCAATGTTGGAATAATTCAAACCCTAGAGCGAAAAAGTTATGAACAGATAACTATTATCAATAACAAAAAGGTTGTGATTACAATTTATTTGTTATTCTTGCACAGACTGTAAACAAGTTTCCTAAAAACTAGGATGATCTGGAATTCTCTATCGGAGGGGGATAAAGAATAACGTTGTACAACACGACTTGTCCCTCAATAGCCGTATGCAACATGTTTTTATTTACATAACAAAAGTGAGGCTTCTTGGTGCTAGGAGAAAGCTTGCAGCGGACCAGTGAGAATAACAGTTCCTTTAAAATACTGTTAAAAGTATAGAAATCACACTGTAATCACTAAAGATTTAGCTTGTAAGATTGACGAATATGAAATCTAGGCCATTTCTGGGATATTCCCTTCTTGCAGCCATGGTAACAGAATTAATATACAAACTTAAAATACATCCGAAGGGCAAACGCGGTGGAAAGTATTGTCTCTTGGCATTTATTCATTCGCGAAATGATTGAGCCGCAGTTGAAAGATTTATGCATGATCTGACGTGGGTTGTCTAATGGAAAAAGGAAATCCTTGTATTGAAAATACAATCATTTGAATCCTAAAAGTGATAATAGCAGCCGCTTCTACCGCTCGTTTTTCATTTGTGTATATATCTGCACTAGTTTTTCCATTAGGGGATTACTGTTGTCGTTCACATACAGAAAAAGATAATTGAAATGCAAAATAATTGAAATAACCATTACTACTTGGAACGAAATATTAACAATTTAATTGTGGATTAAACTAAATCTATTTCTTTAAAACCTGAACATGAAACGCACAGATGAAGAAGAATAAGCACATTTCATATGGAAAGGTCAAGGTGACCCTGCTGGAAAGAACACACTCATTCACACTCATTCACAGTGTGAACTGTGATTTCACACTGAAATTACCAATGATATTCGTGCGATTCTGAATAACATATTTGAATACATGTACAAATAAATATATAAAACTTTAGAATGAGATATACATAATGAATATCAACCATTAAAAGCGATGACTGAAAGCATAGCATACTTATAATAATATGATAATGATCACTCTGTACACACACAGCATGATAATAAAAAAATTAAAAAATTATATTAATATAATAATAATAATAATAATTTTAAAAAATACACCCCCCCCCCCCCAAAAAAAAAAAATAAAAAAAAAAATGTATATAATTATATTTATATTTTTCCAGAATAGAAACAAAGCATCATCGTGAATGAAAATAATTTGGGAAATTCGATTAAATAGTAGTACTATCAAACGATCAAAATCCTCTCAAAATGTATCAATTTTGCATTGAATTTGTCAGTTTTGTTAGCAATTATACAAACTGCCTCTCATTTATGTAACTATTCCTGATATGTTGCTTTATTGTCTGTAAAGACGATATAAATTTAATATTCGTGGAAGCGAAGACGGCCTTTTCCTCTGGGCCTAAAAAGTGCCTTTACGCCTTTGTAAAAGTGAAGTAAAAATACTGAACAAAAATCAAACGGATGGATAAAATAATAAAAAAGGTCGGCTGCCCGCAAAAAGACGAGCTTTACTGTCAAATGCAGTATCGTCTTTCTTCAGGCAGCTCTCCCCCTCTCTCTCTCTCTATCTCTCTCTCATTCCCTCTCACCCACATACACACACACTCTCTCTCTCTCCCTCTCTCTCTCATTTCCTCTCACACGCTCACTCACTCTCTCTTCTCTCGCCCACACACTCTCTCTCTTTCACTCCCCTCTCTCTCTCTAACTTTCTCCCTCCCTTTCTCCGTATCTCCCTCTCTTCCATCTCACTACCCCCCTCTCTCTCTCCCTCTCTCTCCCTCTCACACACCTTCTCTTGTTCACTCCCTCACTATCTCTCTCTATTTCTCTCTCCTCCTCCCTCCTTTGCCAGCTCGTTTGACCTTTTCTCCAGCTTTTTCCTTATCATTATATTTCCCATTCGATTGAGAAGCCGGCATACGCCTGTGAACACGGTAGCTAACCACTAACTTTCAAAATCCCATCTATTTGGATTTTAGAGAGGAAACGGGCAAGAATTAAAGCCTTGAGTATTTTCTCTAAAATCTGTTAATCTTTCTATTATACAAGATACAGATCTAGCCATGAATGTAGTTAGGCATCAAATGGCTAAGAAAAGATTTGTGTAATTTCGACGGAAAACTACACCGCAATCTTCTTTCAGTTCTTTATCCTGTAGTAGTATTTCAAGCTCTGATGAAATCATCTCAAAATAATTTCGAGATGAACAAAAAAAAAACGTTTTAAGTGATTCCTTTAAATTTCTTTCAGTTTTCTATTCTGTATTTAGTTTTTCAAGCTCTGATAAAATCATCTCAAATACGTTTGCCATTGCCAGTTCCCGGTCGAGAGTCGAAATGTCATGTTCACGCTTCTAAAAGTGGAAATATTTGACAAAAACTTAGTCTAATCGAAATATATCCTTAAAGGAGGTTATTCACTATTTCATATTACATCTTTGTTAATCAATTAATAAATTGAGGGCTTTTAGCTTTTAATACCACAATTTGTATTTTTTTGTTCATTTAATGTTTTTTGATAATTTTGTTAGGGCTCTTTTATTTTGTTTTGTTCTCTTTTCTAGCTTTGTAGTTTGTGTGTTTGTTCAAAGGGAAATACCTACCTCTTCAGTTCCAAATTCGATCACAACCGGATCACTGAGATTGATGATGGTCATGCCACCGGCGACTGATGCGGACAATATTGGTCCTAACACCTTAGTGAATCGATGGGACTGAGGGGCTACACTGTAGCCATTGTCACCAGATGGCCCCGTTGTACCAGCGGCTACGCTCTGGGTGTAGTTCTCTTGCCGACGGCGTAGGCGCTCGGATGGGAAGAGAGTGTCGTCTTTGAAGACAACAAAGCTAACCGGGATTGCGGTACCGTTGAAGGCAACTTTGTGAGAAAAGAAAAGAAAATTTAAATTCATGGCATCCAAAATGAATCAAGATCTAGTATTCAATTAGGAAGAACATAATATCGATACAAAAAAGGTTCTCAAAGACAGTCTCGTGATGTTAGGAAATTCATCAAATACCTAATACTCGGGCTGGTAGAAAAAGACATGAGTCCAAAACGAAATCAAGGAAATTGTTCACAATTTTAACATATCAAAAGTCTTGAATAGTATGATGTCGATTGTGATAGCTTTCAGATGAAACCGTTGAAGGCAGCTTTATAAGGGAGAATGGATATTACTGGGATCCAAAACTGTACCTTCGAGTGATTTACATCGACTGAAATGAGGCCATATCTTCGATATAACAATGACCACTGGAAATGGTTGACATATACATTATAGGTTTAATTAAATACACGGGAGTCCAAACGGTAGAAAAGGAAATAGTTTCAAACACGACATAAAACCTATTAAAAGTATAGGCCATCTTTAAATTATCACTCGCAGACAGATGACTCTACGGGTACCCTTTGTTTGTAAGTCACTGACCAACTAAACTAAGTCTACATAGATCACATTTTAGGTCAATGTTCAATGAAATCATAACGACAAATTGGAAAATGTTCAACCATAAACCAACAAACATTATCAAGTAAAGACTGACTCAAGCTAAGTACATACATTTATCAAATTGTTGTGGTTATTGACCATGGACCCCTGGCATCTGGGCATCTGTTACTAGGCTGCGAGAAAGACTTTTTTTTTCGTCTTACCTTCAAACACTTCAGAAGGCAGCTGAATGGATGCTTCCATCTGGAGATGTTTCTGCATTGGGGCTGTATCGTTCTTGATGATGGTCCTTAGCAAATCATCTTCTTCTTCCTCCTCTTCCTCTCCGTCATTGTTATCCTTATCAGAGGTCACGGGGGCAAATGTCAATCCCATTGTGACATCATCAGGGCGAAACGACGCGGTTCGCACCGCGATGAAAGCGGTCGCGACGTTGAGTTTCTTGTCGCAGTGGGCGCTCTCCATTAGCTGGCGGTCTAGAGTTTGGAGGATAGTGCCAAGTTCGTGCCCGACTTCGTCCCTGGTAGTTGCGGGTATATCAGATTCGGCGACTTGGTCAACGATTTGGACAAATGCATTGGAAACCTATGGGAGTGAGGTAAATACAAAGTAAATTTGTACTTATAAATGTCTCCAAAATTGTTAATTAACAGTACTTGGAAGAATGATAAGGATGATGGGAATGAATAGATTGAGAAAGAAGGACATTTTGAGAATTACTGAATTATAAAAGCGACAACTATTTTGTTAGATAAGGATGAGGCAGATGAGCCCAATTGGGCATACTTGGAAAGAAGGTTGACCTATTCTGACACTGGCCCGAAAGGTCGACGGGGTGAGTAGGGGTGGATGAGGCAGAAGAGTACTTTAGGTAGAAAGATTGAAGAAATGGCTGGAAGAAAGAAGACTAAAGTGCCTGGGTGGAACTGTTGGAGAGGTTTGGAAACAGGTATAGTAAAACTTTGCGATCTCGAATTTCTATTAAACCGTGTCATTTAATAAACATTCGGTCAAACTTAGCAAATAAGTATTCATTCATTAGTATTTCCACTTACTGTTTTTGAAGAAGATTCCACGTCGGCCATGTTCTGCAAGGTGTCGGAGAGGAACATGATGTCTTCTCGCTCGAATTCGGTTTGGTTCACAACGACAGCCTCCACGTATTCGGCTACTTCTTTTACGTTGTACTTAGAAACGGGGACCTGTATAAAAAACGTAAAGAAATATGACACACAACGTTGTACTTGGAAACGGGGACCTGTATAACAAACGTAAAGAAATATGACACACAACGTTGTACTTGGAAACGGGGACCTGTATAACAAACGTAAAGAAATATGACACACAACGTTGTACTTGGAAACGGGGACCTGTATAACAAACGTAAAGAAATATGACACACAACGTTGTACTTGGAAACTGGGACCTGTATAACAACGTAAAGATATATGATACACAACGTTGTACTTGGAAACGGGGACCTGTATAACAACGTAAAGATATATGATACACAACGTTGTACTTGGAAACGGGGACCTGTATACAAACGTAAAGCAATATGACACACAATGGGATTTAACGCTGACTCAAAGAAATGACAAACGAGAACATACCCCTCATCTCACAACCACCCATAAGACTGCTATCTCCATATTTTTCTAAGACAACTATCCTCGTCATTTTTTTTTTTGGGGGGGGGGGGGAGGATTGCCATTGGGTCATTTGTCCTAGGGGACTATATAACTGTCCTAAATTTTAGTTTTCGGTGTAGAAATCTAGTGATGATAGTCCTTGGGATGTTTTTTCTTAAAGACTCGTAGAGCATGGAAAGAAATGATAGATTTATAGTCACACAGAATGGGGATCAAAAGGGAGAGAGATAGAGAGAGAGAGAGAGAGATGAGAGAAAGAGAGAGAAGATAGATATTGAGAATGAGAGTCATCACTTACTTTACTAAGATCCCTGAAATCAAGTGGTGTGATGTCCCTGCCACAGGTCCTAATCTTTACGCTTTGCCACAGCCCGACATCAGCGTAGTCAAACTGACAGTAACGGATAGCCACTGGGTGTCCACCTGTAACATTAAGATGGAAAGGAAGAAGCAACGTATACTTTGTGACTATCCTTTTATGTTAAAAGTAATCAGGATGCTGAAAAAAAACGATGGTAGTTCCAGTGACATGATAATACTCCTGTTTCCATCCATTTTTCCCTCGACATAAGTAATAAGGACGTAGGGCACGAGAACGACAACGAATCACTTACTTTCCTGACCCAGAGGTGCTATCGGCATATCGATATCATTCACCTTCGCCATATGAAAGAAGAACACATTCGCAACGTCAGATTCTGACAAGCGACCTTGATGGATGGGGTAAGTTTTGGAAACGTCCGGATGTCACCATGATCCTTGTATTTTTACTAAAAACATATTATCAGCGTTTCTGGCTACCATATCTGATCAAACCCATCAGAAATTATAACACCATTACCTGAGATGGCTAATTGTTCCAAGTTGGGGAAATTTAGGGCCCTCAGAAAGACATGAATGAGTTGCGACTGAGCCGAAGCGATCTTCCAACTTACAAATACCTATATTAAGATAATTTCAATTTAAGTTGCGATCAACTGGGGCAAATCGGGTCTCTGTGTAAACTGGAGCCTCGGATAGTAGCTCTGGAATCGTCTAAACGGTATTAGAGTAACTACGAGAGACCAATGTAGCGTTCAATAATGTTCATTGTCCTTTCAGCTGTGCAACATTTTTGTCTCAAGATCCAAGACAAGATTGGGTGGCTAGAGTTTACACAAATGGATCAAACTTACCGTAAGCAGTGTTGACGGGACATCGTTCTTCTGACTCCGCCAGAGTACTCGTCATCGTAGAGGGCCATGTGAATGTTTCTCCTCCGGTCGTCGTCCTATCCGAAGGACATATCGCTAAATATCCCAAAATAAAACAATTATTTTAAATAGATGTTATGAACTTTCCTCGCAGGGAGAGGGGGTGGGACAAATCGTCTGTACTATCTTCGGCTGGCCGCAAGAAGGCCGGAATCGATAGCTTTATATGGTTAGTGGTAGTTACGGTCTTCTGGCGGACAGTCAACGGTACTACAGACGCTTTGCCCCCCCCCCCCTCCACCACTTCCTGCGAGGAATACACACACGCACACATAATGTGTAAATGTTGCTGATATTGAAACGAGGGTCATAAAAAGACACCCCATGTTCCGATGAGTCGTATCTTATGCTCAAGAACGGGAAAGATTTTGAGGTGAGATATAGATAGATGTAGTTGATTGTAGATGAATCATGTTTTGAATCATGTCAATGATTTGCCTATTACAGCTACTATGGAACAAAGATAACTTTAATCTTCATCATCAAACTTGATCCGAACGACGTAATGATCCATACCTTCAATGATAGAAACGTCGAAATCGCAAGTGACGTTATTTCCAGCGAGGTCGTTGACTACGTAGGAGACATGGTGGTCGCCAACGGCAAACTTTGTACCAGGCGCGTGGGACCTGAACCACGGCCAGGATATTCCAACGTTATCATCGGCGATCGGTTCTTCCCACCGGACCGAGGTCGAATTTTCACGATATGTTTCGATGTATCGCCGAACGTTGCGTGGGCAGTTCATGAAGCGTGGTGGTTCAGAGTCTATGACAGAAGGAAAACAAGGATAACGTTGTGCGTCATCATGTATAGTATATAGACAAACATATACAGACAGATAAGTAGACAATCAGACCTCTATACCAAACACACTGCAATGTATACCGATATACATACATTGATACAAATTGTAAGAGAACGGACGGGGTTGCAGGCAAAGGTATTTTATCGTATTTAAACCAATGTCAAGCCCATTATTTACATAACATATGTAACCCCGAAGGTTTTCGATGTTAGTTCGAAAGTATATACCCTTGACACCATTCTATGTAGGCAATTACAAGCCATGTATATATTCACACAAACACGGTAAGTACCATGTTTGTGTGAGTGAGGGTGTATACGGGTGTGTGTGTTTGGTGATGTGGGTGGGTGAGTATGTGTGGCTGTATGAGGATTTTACAGGCCGTGCTGGTGGCTACCAGCTGACTCAAAACAAAATGTGGTTTATTGTTTCCATGACTTAATCTACGAATGGTGATTTAGGCCCTACTTGGTGATCCCCTTGAGACTAAGACAGCAGAACAAATACTATATTTGTGGTTAGAAAAGGGTCCAAAGAGACACGGTATTTTTACCTCTGACTTGGATGGAGAAGGTGCAATTGGCAAGGTTACCCGTGCCATCTTGCATCGAGTAGGTGCGGTAGGAGATACCGTAGATGAACACACCGTCTGTTCCTGGATCCTTCAAGATGACTGTTCGACCCGAGTTGTCGGTGGCAGTAGGTCTTGTCCAGCTCGCACGGGAATGAGAAGTGCCCGGGATGGTATCCACTACGATGTCGTCAGGACAGGTCAGCCGAGGCGGTTCTCTGTCTGCAATGTGAAACATAGGAAGAATTTATATTTCCAAGGGGCCGTTTTTTAAAACTTGTTATCATTAACATCTGTCGCAGATCAATGACGAATCTGCCCGTAGCCAATCAAGTGTCAGAATTTCAGTAGCTTATAATGTTATTATTTATAACAAGTTGTATGAAACAGAGCTCAGGTCTTCCCACCTAAGCGTGTCTTGCTTATATCTGTAAATAATTTTGCTATGAAATGTAACATGAAATCTGGGAATTGAAGTGCTCCAATATCTATTTGGCTCTTCAAAGACGCTGATACTACACAGCTGCATACTAAATTTAAACCGACCATATGTAAAAACCTATGTCTAATTCAAATATTGTCTCTAGAGAAGCATTGCTCTAAAAACATTCTAGTTCTTTTTTAAGACATGTTGTTTCGCGTGTATATGTACCATTAATCGTAAATGATTAACTTTTAAAACGAAATGGACAAAAAAAGTCAACCAATGTATAGTTTGGTACGACCTCTCACCTTCAATCATTATACTGAACGAGCAAGTGGCCTCATTGCCCGCTAGATCAGTTGCTGTGTAGACGATGGTGAATGATCCGATACCATAGTAGGTGCCAGGAAGAGCCTTTGTCACGAGATCAACCTGGCCAGAGTTGTCGATAGCAACAGGGTCAATCCAAGACACCTGGGCCATGGCCCGACCCGGGTCAGTCGGGACCGACATGTCATCGGAGCATCCAAGGATGGTAGGCGGCTCAACATCTGGTGGAGAAATAAATACAAAAACAAAGTTTGGTTGGATTAATTTGTATAACGATTGGATTGATCAGGTACTTGATCGGTACTTTTGGCTGACTGGTTGGTTGGTTGGCTTGGTCAATTTATTAACTAATTGGTTTAGGTTGTTGGTTGAGTGGATGGTTGTTTGGGTTGTTGGTTGCATATATGGATTGGTGATTTGGTTGTTGGTTGCTTAGTTGGCTGATTGGTTGGCTGGTTGGTTGGCTGGTTGGCTGGTTGGTTCGTTGGTTGGTTGTTGGTTGGATGGTAGGGTTATGGATGGTTGGTTGATCGTTCAGGTGGTAGGTTAGTAGGTTGACTAGTTGGTTGATCGTCAATTCCAAGAGAGAGAGAGGTGGTTGGTTGGTTGAATGGTTAAAGTTGATTGCTTTGCTGATTAGTTGTTGGCTGATTGCATGATTAGTCAGTTATTTTGTCTATATTATGGCTGGTTGGTTGATTGGTTGGTTGGTTGGTAAGTTTGTTCATGAGCTTGTTTTTGGATCCCTATAATTTTGTATGGCTTATCACGCTCTTGAATTTTGTCCGTAATGTCCCCTAAGACCATTCTGACGCATTTTGGGCTCTTAATAATTATGTCAGCGTGTGACACCTTCGAAAACATTACGTTCAAACGGCACACACGGTCTTTATAGGAACTCTGTGAACAGTACCGTTGTCCAGCTAAAACACTAGGAAACACTCACCTTGAACCGTTACCGTGAATACACAAACTTCGACCATTCCGAAGATATCCGAAGCGTTGTATACAACATCGGTCTTTCCGAGGTTGAAACGATTGCCCGGTTTATAGTACGAAAGCAGTCGAGTGTCGCCGTAGTTATTGGCCAATGACGGAATGTCCCATGTGACAGTGGTGTGGGTCGAGTTGAAATCAGTGGGTACAGTGATGTCTGATGGGCAAGGGTCACCAAGTGCATATCTTTCATCTATACAAACAAATATTTAAAAGATAAAAACAAACTCAGATAGATTAAAGTTGATGTAATAAACATAAATCAACAAATATCGCTCTTATCTGAGATGTATGTATTTATTGATAAACTAAAAGAATCATATTTTGTAATGGGCTACTTGTAGCCCGCCTTCCTAAGTATCATTTATAGAGGAAAACAAATCGACTATAACAATGAAAACCACTAACATGTTTGTTTAACAATAACAAAGAAGTATATAGTTGCGGATTATTCTACCATTTGACGACTTATTGTAAAATCTTTCATATTCACATATATTTGTACAGCAGCACGCCCGTTTTCACTACTTTGCTTCTTTTGGAACTACAAGACTTATTAGTCTGACATTAAAGAGAAACTTTAGTACTGGTAATGCGATTGCATTGTGAAAGAAAAGGTGTGGAAAGGATCAGAAACAGTTGATCATGTAGCATGTAAGTATTGGTGTGCACTGCAAGGTTCTGGAGTCATCAAAATCATAATAAATTTGACCGAGTCTTGGTAAAGTAACAAGCACTGACACAGAAAGCTATATATGGGACAACACACATGGTGTCGGGGCTGGTACTACCTTGATTTCCTTGTCTTTCTATGCTCATTACTCAGCCAGTATACATTTTCTTCCAAAATTGTTTGGCACATGTCATTTATTTGTAATCTTGAACATTCAGTGTAAGTTTCGTTTGATTCTATGAGAATTAATTTTCTTTTTTTTTACCAGAACTCAAGTTTATCTTTAACATGTATTTTCATAAAGATATGACAAGATTTCCAGCTATTCTTACCATCAAAAACCAGATCAATAGAGTGCATTTCATTCGCCCTGCTCAAATCGACACACGTGAAGGTCCCGCCATCGGAAGGGACCGGAGAGGTGATCCTTATTTTCTTCATCTGTCGACCTCCCACCACCTCGTTGAGAAACACAGTACGTGGCGATGTGTCCGAGATGTGATTGGCTACCAGCTCGGGCCTACCACCTTGGTTGATGATGCAAGAGATGTCGATGCTGGTGACGTAGGGGGTGAGAAAGATTGCGTACGAGCCGTCGCTTGTGGACGATTGCGGGAGGGTTGGTGTAGTCGCTAGTGCAAACTGAACTCGAGTAGTTTCTGAAATATAGATTTTTAAAAGCCCATTACATTCATGACAAATACGATCGCAAAATCGTTGAATAAATCACAGTAACGCAGTTTTAAAGGCAGGCTTTACTACTTCAGCTAGAAGGGATTAGACCACCCAGCGAGCCAGCTAGGTCACTGCGACAGGTGGCTATCTCATTAACCCAGCTCTCATTTAACATAAGAAAAAGAGGATCATGGGGGCCAACAGGCACCGATTGTGGAAGTTTTCTATATAGAGGGAGCAAGTAGCTACAAATAGGACAGTGTGCCTTTAATGGCCCTGTATATCACATTTTGAAATGTGCGAATATTGCAAAGACGTTTTTACGTAATCCGAACATAATTCATATGGGATAAACAGCGGAGTATTGAAATTGCCATTGAGTTTGTATTTCCGAAAGTCTTTGAGATCGCATTGATACTTGTCTTTTCTTGTTTATATCCAACCGAGACTTGTAAGCAATTTATGAAAAAAATAGACATTCACACCAGGGCCCTGTATTACAAAGAGTTGATATCAATTGCAAATTAATTGCAATTGATATCAATCGCAACTATGTACATAAAAGAAAGGAGATTGCAAACTTGCGATTGATTAGAGGACTTGCGATTTATTTGGACAGGGCCCAGGACTGCCGATATATTTATCATTGGTACATTATACTATAAAAACTCTCATTTGTAATATAGTTATCGTTCCCAAATATGTATATTTCGAAGATGATACTAAAGGTTCTGTAACCTTCTGAAAATGTAATTTGTAACGTTGTCTGTACAAAATCAGTATTTCTGGCCTATATAGGAATATGCCAACTTCTCATCAATACACCAACTCTAACATACCACGAAGACGTCAACTTTAACGTGTCAAGATCATTATAATGAAAGTTTGACTTTGACTATACACCTAACCAAATAATTGTATAGCGCCAACAACGGCGTTATGTTAATGACGTGTAACCAACTCCATTTTTCTATACCTCTACTACTTTTTTGTTTTTTGTTGCCCATCTGGTCAATTTTCCCTTCCTTGTCTTCAACTGAGCGTGTCCTCGCTATCCTGAAATTTTCGATAATGATACTTCATGCTTATATTTCCAGGCCACTACATGTAAATATGTATTACTCCATTCGGAAGGTTTTACATGCTGCGAGTCGGCAAGGTTTAACACTAACAGACAATTGTGCAAACATACATATTCACTGATTGAGCAAAAGAAAATACTGTATCGGTACAACGGTAACGGCTAGAAGAACCCTAGCCTTGTAGAATTGAAATGTGACTGTTACGAATTATAAATATATATTTTTAACGCATGGTACGGTCTTCTAGTAATCCCATTGTTACGTTCTACAAAACGGAACACCAACCCTTCAATAATTTTCAAAGCAACTGATTTCTATATCATGCATTGAACAAAACTATGCCTTGGATTATAATAGTTTGTTGACAATTGAACGATGATTGAACTTCTGATACATCGGCAGCGTAGAGCCATGTACGGCACACATCCTGAATCAGTATAAAGTATGTTTACATGGCCATGTTGTCTCGTGAGTAATGTACAGACTCATCTTCGCCGTTTAATTAACACTGCGTAAGTAGCCTGCTGGCAAGGCCATTATGTTTGATGATTAATGGCGCATGCATTCCCGGTCGACACAAATGAATCGTGAAAATATGAAAACCAGATATTGCAATTTTGTAATCATCTCGATTTATAAACAATTATTTGTTCGCACTCTAGACAAGGGGTGAGACAAAACTTGACTGGGGTATATCGAGCTTGTATGAATGTTGGTGTAGCTGGGGGAGGGGGTGGGGCTGGGAGTATTCTCTTTAATGCCCGTGGCACTCGATTCGTCATTGTCTGACGTACACAGGCGCGTACGCAGGATTTTTTCAAGGGGGGGGGGGTTTACATTTATAAATCGGGCCGAAAATTTCGCAACGACTCAGCCAGCCGCTGAATAAGCGGGGGGGGGGGAGGGGGGAGGGGGGAGGGGTAATAGGAAACTTTTTTTATTATTTTTATTTTATCCCAAAAAAATCGCAACGACTCAGCTGACCGCTGAATAAGCGGGGGGGGAGGGGGTAAGAGGACACTTTAATTTTTTGGTCTCGAAATTTGAAAAATTGACATTTTGCTCAGTTTTTTAAAATAAATAATTAAAAAAAGAAAGAAAAAAAAAGGGGGGTTATGGGGGGGGGGTTTACACACAGAAAAATACCAAAGGGGGGGGGGTTAACCCCCCTCCCCCTCCCCCCCCCCCTAGTGTACGCGCCTGGACGTACATGTAGGACTGCGTCAGTAACTGGCGCGGCCTTTGACGCACCATACGAAAGTGACGTCGTACAATATGTTAATGTAAAATCAACCATAAACTGACCGTGCAAACAATACTTTGAAATATTGGTGCAAGCACTTATTAATATTAGCGAAATAGAAATGCCGCCTCGTATACAACGGGCATAACCACCAAAATATGGAAGACTGAAGCCATTTTTCGTTTATTATAATGCAGTCACTGCTACTGATGTTAATTTATGGTCCATTTTTTCGTTTACATGCAAATGAGTTTTTCATAGGCTCCGCCCATACTTATTTTTAATACCCGCCATATCTTTACTCATTCAGAACACACACAAATGAACAAGTTTAAGAAACGGGAATATATTGCTATCCAGCGACTAGAATCAAAGTTAAAGCTGTGATCTGGAAACTTACCAAAACTGTACCGAGACTTTAACAAGCTCGGAACTAGAACATTGCTAGAATGTCGGAAGTTATCAGTTGCGTATTACAGGACTGATCTTGTCGACTGTAACCCGACTATTTCCGGGACCAATTTCTAGAACAATAAACACCAGGTATTCATCACTACTGTCCGGAAATGAGCAGTCTATTGTTTGTCAAAAAAGTCTTCTCCTGTTTGTCTCGAAAGAGGGTATGTGAGAAAGGGCTACATTTGTAAAAGGGGCACCCTAACGTTTTTTGTTTTTAGAGATGGGATTGCCAATGTCTAGTGCTTGACAACTATTATTGGAGCAATGATAGCGATGAAATTCTGGGATCTCCTTTTAGATATCTACTTTGGTCGAAATAGTCGTTCAAAGTTAAACAAAATATTTGTTAGTTCGCCGATTGTTTTCCGGAGTGCCCCTTTCACCCCAACCTACTGACCGTAAATTGACGCCCCCATAATATGTGACTCAATTCCAGAAAAAATAACTAGGCCTCCGATGCCATGCCAGGAACAGTCAAGGTGATCTTTGCCTCAAAAGATTTAATACTCAGACGATAACAACTTCTGATAGTGTACTAGCGGAAACTAGGCTTGAGAGGGAATGTATTACTCAATTATTGCTACTTCAAGAACAATTACAGCTAAAAGTAAAACGTTGGTTTTGAGAAAGAAAAACAGATACATGTAAGTGAAATAGTATGATTCGCAGACGTGTCAATTGTAATATTACAGAAGTAGAAGTAGCAGTAGTGGTAGTAGCAGTATAAATCGTCGTAGTTGTAGTAGTAGTAGTAGTAGTAGTAGTAGTAGTAGTAGTAGTAGTAGTAGTTATTAGTAGTAGCAAAAGCAGCAGCAGCAGCAGCGGTAGTAGTAGTAGTAGTAGTAGTAGTAGTGGTAGCCTAGTAGCAGTGGAGGTAGTAGTAGTATTATTAGTTGTAGTAGTAGTAGTAGTAGTAGTAGTAGTAGTTGTTGTTGTTGATGTAGTAGTAGTATTAGTATTTTTCATCATCGCAGTAGTAGTAGTATAGTAGCAGTTGTTGTTCTTGTTCTTGTAGCGGTAGTAGTAGTAGTAGTAGTAGTAGTAGTCGTCCTCGTCGTCGTCGTCGTCGTAGTAGTAGTAGTAGTAGTAGTAGTAGTAGTAGTAGTAGTAGTAGTAGTGGTAGTAGTAGTAGAAGTAGCAGTAGTATTAGTAGTAGTAGTAGTAGTAGTAGTAGTAGTAGTAGTAGTAGTAGTAGTAGTAGTAGTAGTAGTAGAAGTAGTAGTAGTAGTAGTAGTAGTAGTAGTAGTAGTAGTAGTAGTAGTTGTAGTAGTAAAAGTACTGGATGTAGTTGTAGTAATATTGGTAGCAGTAGCAACAGCACCAGTACCAACAGTAGTACATGTAGTCTTTATAGTCTAACGTTCTTGTTTTGTTTTCCTGCCGTCCGTCCTGGGTATAACATTAGACTGAATAAGAGGTCATCATTTAATTTGTATTCCAAAATTCATGGCTGTTCCTATTTCATTTCAATGTACTATTTTCCCAAGTTCCCCTATATGGCTTTCCTTCGTATCTTCCCATTGCAATTTAGATTTAAACTTATACCTGGTTATTCTCACCTCTATTGGAGAATTTAATTAGCAAAGTTTATTTGGCATAGTTATGAGCAATAAGTGGCCAAGATTCATCATGGCAGAGTGACCTTTTCGAAACAAAGGAAATCGATAACATTTTTGAGCACGCTTGAAGCAAAAAAGAAAAGGGATAAGGAAGGAAAATAGAAAATGTAAGAAGAAGAAGAAAGAGGGCGAGGATGTGAGGAAAATAGCGGTACAAGCATTACTCTTTTTACGGGGTGAAATAGCCATGATAGTGTTATCCATCAGAGGGAAGAAAATGAATTTCTGATACGTTTATACCTCTCCCGTGACCAAAATGGTCTTCATGATGTCAACACTATATTAAAGCAGACGCCAGAAGTCTCCATCGCTTTATGAAATAGACATTCAAGCGGACAGCAATATTTAGTAGTCCTCATCTATGCCCTTTTTCTGCCTCCTTCAATCAGCAACGCCGCAATTCGACCGAACCTGATCACCACGAAACATTGGCTGGCTTCAGTTACACAACCAAGGTTAGGAATTTTTAACGCGTCTGTCTCGTAACGCTTGGCATAATATGACTCCCATTAAGTCATTACTATATATATATATAATCAATGTTCCAGCGTCAACATGCCATCTGTACATACTAGTCAACGTTAATACATGTACATGCACATGTACACAAATCCCACCCAATAATAATTTGTTAGGATGACTGCCGACTTTAATAGGCTTCTTCTATTTCAGGCCGTACAGGATATTTTCATTAAATCACTAGAACATAAAAGATCTGTTTCAGATAGTTTTTAAAGTTAAGATTTTGTTGCTTCTTCATTCGAAAAGGGACATATTATTGTGATTGTAGTACAAAACACCAATAACACCATATTAATCAATGATTTCAATCAATGCCAGTTATTTGGGAAATCCATATATGATTATGTTTATCTCAAATGCGTTTGGAATAGAGCTTTAGCATTAACGTCAAATAGTCGAAAAATTGATCTGCCCGTTAATATGTTTTACCGCCCCGGTCAATGCCTTTTGCTCACAATTTGTTGTAGATGAATTACAGTATCATCATGATTATATCCGGCAACAAGTTGGGGAAGGAGAGGGTCGTGTAACACGCCATTTCCTTCTGCTCAAAACCAAAGATGAGACTCAAGAAGATAATATTTTGCAGAAGATTCTCTACTCAATGACACCTATGTAAGAGCCACTCGAGACAAACTTACAAGAAGTTTGATGACCTTAAGTCAGTTACACACGAGGCGTTATTTGCCTTATACAGGACTGAGTCTTTGACGTGTCGTTTTGGAGTGAAAACATAACCAAAGATAAGTGAATGCACAATACACCAGTGACCTATCGAGGATTTCGTAACGGGGAGGGGACATGTTCTAAAACATTGTGACAAGCGAGCAAAAATCATCAGTGTTTTGATGTGTCTCCATTTATTCAAAAAAATCTATGAAAAACAAATTAACAAAATCACCCCCACTCTTTTATCTTTAAGGTGGGAGGGGGCTCGTGCTCCCAGTTTACCCTAGATCCGCCACTGTTTGGGATTAAAAACGTCACCAAAGTGAAGTGAATGCACGATAAACCAGTGCCAGGATTTTGTAACGGGAAGGGGACAAGTTCTAAAAGATTGTGACAGGGAAAAAAACAACCATCAGTGTTTCGATGTGTCCTTTTATTTTCAAAATTCTATGACCCCCCCCCCCCTTACCCTTTTTTTTTGGTGGGATGGGGCACGTGGCCCTGGTGTTCCCCTAGGTCCGCCATCGTGAACCACCCTTCGTACATTCTGGGTGACCCTGGGAAAAAAAGGACCATTCTTAAAACTAAAAAGGCGTTGTTCCTCTAGCAATGACTGGACGAAATTGTGGTAAAAAAACAGGGAGGGAGGCCATTAGTTATAAACAATAACCTTCATGGCGTCGGGGAATCCCGGGTTCGATGTTATCTAAAATCATGTAGTGGTAGTGTTAATTAGGCGATTTGGTTTGAGAGTAGGTTTAGGGTCAGAGTTAAAGTTAAATGTAAGTATTGTGGTCCCCGATTAAAGGTAAAGACCAGTATTGGAAACGCCCCAATTTCAAAAAATGAAATGGAAGCTCTTATTACCAATCGATTTTACAATGTTTCTTTCACAATGCAATCGCATGACCATAACTGGTCTTTAGCTTTAATAGATTAATAGAGAATTTTGACTGGTGAAGCAGTGACCCAAAGGCATTGTCGCTGAAGCATGTGTGGTAATATAAAGTGTATCAAACTCTCTATTCTCTTACCAAATCTGTTGAATGAAACATGGGTGTTATGTATGAGGCGGATATGTTTATGAATTAACGTTTGTTTTTTGTCTGGTGCGTGACGGATAACGAGTAGCAATTGAAGTTATTGTTTCCGCATTGCGTCTGAATTAATGTGAGGTTCTTATATGTTTAGTTTCTTCGTACGTGAAGCACTTTCCTGCTAACCTCGCCTTCTTAAAGACGATTGTTGGACGATGCATATTACTTTCTGGAAATTGAAAATTACTGGTATCATTAATACTAACACAATCGACATTTCTCCCCCCCCCCCCTCCCCCCTCTCTCTCTCTCTCTCTCTCTCTCTATACTTCAAACAGACCAATGTTTTGTTAATCAAACTTTAATAAGCTTTGGGAACTAAGTGGAACGGCTGTTCTTTCATCCAATATTTTCAGATATTTTTCTACACCTTTGATGTCACGATATCCTGTTATGATATCCATTTCTGGGTTACTCGAGAGACCTCGGCAAAATATCGCAAAAATGTCAGAATGCCCTGGTATAGCTTGCTGTCCTATTATAGGTTCATGTCCAAAGGGTTATAAAGTGAGTGACGTATCGCTTTTGAAATGGAGAAATGGAATTCTTTATTTCGATTCATACCTCCTTGGTTTTTATTCTGTATTCACCAGGCTAGTATAAACCCTTTAAGTTGTTTTATATCTTTGTTTGTTTTCAAATGTTATAATGTGTGTGTGTGTATTGGGTTTTTACAGACGTGTATCAATCAGATCTGATTATTTACGTCTGGGACCGACCTTTAAACGTCACCATCCGAAAGACGTGACTCAGTTTCGAACCTGCGTCCTCGGCTGAATCAGTTTGTAACTTCCACTTTTTAGCTGGATTACAGGCGCACGCCACAACGCCTATAATATCAAGAGACTTACGGCATGTTGGTGCGGGCGCTGTCCATACTCCTAAAATACAGGTCCGTGTCGTTGACCCGAAGAGTCGAGCCCTTCCGGGGTCTTGACACGCATGCGTGATGGCGGTTCCAGCCGGGAAGGTCTTGCCATTCTCGGTGATGTTGGCATTCTGATCAACCGTAATGAACTGGATCAGACCAGTTAGAGTCGGTGGTCGCAAGCAGGGTCGAGTGTCTGAAGAAGCCATGCCCGACGGTATACCTTTTTGTAAGACGCAAAATGGAAGAAAAGGAAAAATGATTTAGATTGAGCATGTATATTGGGTATTAATTTGCCGGATTACGGTCATATCATTTTCATGATTGTAAAAATCAATGGGATAGCGCAGTGGGTGTAAATTGGAGAGAGAAAAGAGAGAGAAGGAGGCAGGCAATGATAAAGAAGAAGATTAATCGACCTGTAGGAAAAGAGAGGAGGAAGAGGGGGTGGGTGTAGGATAGTTAAAGATATTATTAAAAGCGAGAGGCTACAGATGCATAATCATCGAACAAAATCTGGAACGGTCTCTTTAACAATTTAAAATACGCGGGGAATGTGTATAATGTAATTTATGTATTTAGCGGGTTATAATAACCATTTTTCATTTATTCTATCGAACAAACATTGCGCTTTTTTTTTAAAGCTTCGCCAAACGGGTTCGTCATTTCTGAAGGACACCTCGAATCCTTATCTAAATCCATATCTTGTTTCTGATCAAGTGCTTCCGAGGCTTTGCCTTTCATTTATGAGGTGCATGTATGAAACTAACCTCTTTCTTTTCACTTGGTTATTAATCTATAATTCTAGACAAATACTTTTTGTCGCTGCTCGTCTGTAATTGAGAAGGCGGCTATAGAAATTAGTTTGATACGATCAAGAGAAGGTCAGAATAGTTGCTTGTTTTACGTCATATTAGTTGTCTAGGTATATGACGGATTTTGGAAACAAGCTTTTCTTTGAAGAAATAAAAAAAGCCAAGTGTATAGAAGTTTCATTGGCACGAAAAGACATTCCAATTCATATTCATATTAATATCTATATCCATATTCGTATTCGTATTCATATTCATAGTCATATTCATAGTCATATTCCTATCCATATCAATATTCATACTCATATTCATACTCATATTCATATTCATATTCGTATTCGTGTTCGACTTACAAGAAAACTCAGACAGAGAGATTGTACTTGAACCGACCATCTATTTCCAAATGCGATTGAATTAAACAACATTTTGAAAAGGCTTGCGTCCAGATTAAGCCTAAATAATTTCGGATTGTGATTATGAAGATACCAAAAAACAGAGATTAAGTCTAATATCTCCGCCGAATTAGATCTTCTCTGGCTGTAAATCGAATTACTCCCAAAGAAACCCCCGTCTTTACTTTTAAATGGAAAACCACACTAAATATAGCACATGTTTACAATCATATAACCGGATAACGGCCATATGTGTCTAATTCTGAATTAATTCCGAAAACAAAACAAATCGAAAGAAATTTCCTCAGAATGATATCATATTATTCGCAATATGTCGACCTTTTATGGTATAATCCTTATTTTTTGTTTTGGATATGATCAGTCGACGGTTATCTCGAAGAGAATCGACAAAACTCTTGTGGTTTTGTCGCCTTCTTCTTTCAAACGTAATCGAAAGTAAATCAGCTCAAACAAGATTGTAACTTTGGTGATAAGGCCGAAGAGACAAATATTGCCTTTCCGCAATAAAAACTTGCTGAATAACTTAGAATCATATAATAATAAAAGTAATACAATATTTATACAAGCGCATAATAAACACAAGTTTCTCCATGCGCTGTACATAAAAGGAATCAACAAAGATAAATATATAAATCGTATAACTACTGAAATGACTAACTTCACATAGTAAATAACATAATAAAAAGGTAGCTTACATGGCCAAAACAAATAACGTAAGTAAGGATAGTTTAAGCTAATTAATTAAGGCCAAAGAGTTTCGTTTTTATTAAAGATTTGAACGTTGCAGAAGTGGGTGCCTGTCGTATGAATTTGGGAAGATTGTTCCAAAGTTTTGGTCCATCAACTGCAAAAGATCTGCCCCCATAGAATATAGTATTGGTTTTTGGTACACAAATGCTTGATTGCTTGAACGGAGGGTTTGGGGTGGCTGGTATTGTTTGAGCAAATCAGTCAGGTATGAAGGGAAAGAACTGTGTTACATTGCTTTAAATGTAATTAATAAGAGTTTGAATATGATGTGCTTATCTACAGGAAGCCAGTGTAGTTTCTTAAGAGTACTAGTTATACTTTGTTGGCGTGGAGTGCGAGTGACCAGTCTCGCTGCAATGTGCTGTATCATCTGGATCCGGTGAATATCAATTGCGGGAAGTCCAAACAACATATCACCTCCTCCGATGCCTATCCCATTTTATTTTGTTAAGCCGTAACCTATTTAGGGTTTAGGTTATTTCAAAACAGCAACCATCAAGAAGACTACATTTTCCGTGTCTAATGCAAGGATTTTGACAATCCTGGGAATCTTCTCTTTTTTCGAAAGGGATTGGAGTCGTTTACTTGATGAATAGATTCTCAAATATTGCTAAAGCAATAACTAACGTTTCCCCTTCAAATATCAGTGGGAAGCGCTCTCACCACGCGAAACTACTACAACACAACCAATATGATAAGGAGTTATACCAAAAAATTACTCACGCAATTTACAAGAAAAATTTACGTGGAGTATATAAATGCATTGTTTTTTTAAAGGTACAATGTCCCATTCGCAGCCAATATCAAATGTTGTAGAAGTTTGCAGGAACTATGAATATGTCACGTATTTCCTATCTTTGAAATTTAAACGTTAGCAGTGTCCTAATATTCAAATTATGCAAGGAAACCCGTTTAATTTTAGACTTCACTGTCAGACACTATTAAGTGGCTGACTGACTTTTTCCCTTTGGTATGAGCTGAAAAGGGTAAATGAGCATTAATTTTGTTTACGTTAATCACCCACTTCTTGTAATGGCCCAAATTAAACTGATTGAATCTTTGCGCAGCACAAAACGCAAGACCATTGAGTACAAGGGTCTGAAAATCAGACTATTTCTAAATGGATTGTAATCACTAAAGTCGATTCGACAACTAACTGCTAGTGGTCATTATTTTAAAGACATTTTTAGGCCCCCTTTTTTTAGGGAAGTTCTAAATCAGTATTATCTTTCAAACGCCGTTTGAATTTAAACTTTTCATTATTTTGGCCTCCAAATGGGACATAGTACCTTTAATGTGTGATCTACTTTTCATCAAATCTTTTCGGCCTTTTCAACTTACGTTGCCTGCTCCGTACGATGGTCGTTCTTGTTCGGCTGATTGTTCTTCTGGAGGATGTGATGGTAGTCCGTGAGAAACTGGCAGTTCCACTCTGCGAAGATACTTCTGTTTGACAAAGGAGAAACAAAAATAAAAGATTTTACCTAAATTATTCAGGATATTGCTTTAGAGGCCTCAAGTTTGGAAAACCCTCTATAATTGTGCATATTCCAAACCATACTGATTAACGTATTCATTCGTAGATGATTTCCTTGCTTAAAGCTCCACTGCACTACTTATAGCTACTTGCGCCCTCTATATAACAAAATGGGTTATAGGTGACCATTGCTCCCCCATGACCCCCTTTTTCTTATGTTAATTTAGAGCTGATTTGATGAGATAACCATCTGTCCAGTGACCTTGCAGGGTGGTCTAATCCCTCATGTACACTAGTACAGATTGGCTTTAAAATCGTGGCAATAAAATCAGACACACTCACAGAATGCAAACAAACTAAAATGTCATTACTGATGGAATGGAGTAATTTTAAAAGATCAAATATTAAGAAACATCCGAAGAAGAAAAGAAGCAGAAATTCGAAGGCGGCGCAAGACAATCAGAAATTAATTAAGCCCTATTGAAAACAGTTTGGAGTAAAATACGAGGATATTAAAAAACCCTAGAGAGGGGGATTATTTGAATAAAATATTGAGAATGAGGAAGAAGTAGAATTACGTAATTAAAAAAGAAAAAAATGAAAAAGAGCAAAATAGGGAGAAAGGAAATGAACTAAAATATGTTCGAAATGAAGAACAAGAAAAAAAGCAGATTTAATATAAATTATCCGACCATCTCCTCCAGTTTCAATGCCTATACGTTTAACAACAAACTTACATGATTTCAAAATTGATTTAATATACAAAATGTCAATTAGAGAGAAGATGACGTTTTACTGATCAAGATCAACTGATTATACCCATCATATTCCTCACTAATCCTAGAATGATTTGTCATGAATTAACACCCCTAATCAAGAAGTGAATTGATTCCGACCGGATACAATCACTTTCCTCTTTCTCTTTACAGCGATCAAGCTAGTTAATGATAATTATGGTATGGTTCGGTATGGTATTTATTTCATTCTTCATTAAAAAAAAACATATACAAAACATACAGAGTATTTAAAAAAATTGAAAATACATCAATACATGTAGAAGGGTAACATTACAGATAGTAATAATACAATAAAATTAACAGGAAATAAGTTCAGAAAGCAAATTTATGTCGAATGAGGGGTCAACAAAAAGGAGCATTTAGCCTTGCTGAACGTTGACCCCTAAAGAAAGTACATAATAAACATCACATTAAGAAGATAAGAATAAGCATAATACCAAAACAAAATATATACAAATATATACGTCATAAATCAAATATGATATTCAAGTTGCTGAGTACAAATTCGATAAAAACAATCTAAAGGAACGTTTAAAACTATTTATGACACACACACTAAAAAAGAAGCTCAAATATGTCAAACGATGAGCTAAAAAAGTAAGTACTTTCTTTTCTGCCCTAATACTTTATTTCACTTTGTTTGAATCTTTTCGTTTTGTTAATGTCCCATTTCACAATTGTTGTCCTTTTTATTAATTTATAACTTTTTCTCATCGTCCTATATGAGTACATGGATTTATAAATACATTCGCACGAGGTATGAATGTATCTATGCACACCATGGAGGCAAATATTGGTTATGTAAAAGCTTGGCTATAGAAGCCCACATGAAGGTTTTCAGGCGAGCAAGGAGAGAAAAAGAAGAAACAATACAAGCAGCTAGGGAAATATCTGCAAGAAACGCTGTCAGCTGACTGACATATTTAAATGGTTTTAGACATCTTCTTGTAAATGTATTACGCAGTAAAGCAGTAGAGCGGAAAGCACCCAGTCGTGAACGGGAAACCACTGGCGGAACCTGCCTGCCACCCACGGGTCTTCAGCCAGCAGCTAGAGAACGCCCCTAAACCTTCATCGAAATGATTGATATAAAAGAGAGAAGGGCAAGAGGAAGAGAAAGGGATACGATTGTAGACTTACAGACATACTGATATAGGAACATAAAAGATAGACACAGACAGGTAGACAGACGGATGGATGGAAGGTTGGATAGTGAATATCATGTACATGTAGGTATATACGTTAATATCATATATTAACGTTAATTTCATTAATTGTCATCCATTTTAAAGTGCCAACACTAAGTTATAGGTTTAATAATAGTGTTTAAATTCACGTTATTCTCAGCCTGTATGGAAACCAACATCAGAAAAAGACGAATAAAATAGAAAGGGAGAGGGAGGGAGAAAGAAAGAAAGAAAACAAATTGAGATACAGGAAGAAGAAGAAGAAAGAGAAGAAAAAGAAGAAGAACGAGAAGAAGAAGAAGTAAGAAGGAGAAGTGGAACAATAACTGCAAGAATAAGAGAAAGGCAAATCATTGATACATCTGTCTGCGACTGAAGTACCCAAGGTAGTTTAGGAAGAACCCTTTTCCGAATAATGCTATATTGAGCTTTCCCGTGCTGTGTCTACACTACATAACAATCTGTTATTAGGGATATTCTCTGAGGTGACATGTTGCACTTGCATCTTCTATATACCTTTTATCAAAGGTCAATAGCGGTATGGCTTTCTTTCCTTTTCACTTGTCACGGTGATAATAAAACAATTTTGGGAATAATCCATGTAGTAATCCGTGTACACACCGAGAAATGTTATACAATGTATGCAAAATTATTATAATTTTACCAAACATGTAGAATAGGCCTATTCGGAAAACTATGAAACTGCAAACTGGGTTGAATAGTCTCGAAATATATACACATATCCAAATTTACGAAGTAACTTCACACAAAGAATTTGTTTTCATCACATCTTCTCTCATCTCACCTTCTTGCATAGGAAAAAATTATTGAAAAGAAAATTTTAAAAGAAACGTTGTTCAAGAATCAATCAGCGAACAAAGTCAAGTACTGTCACCTCGTCCCCCTCCCCACCTTCCATAAATCTCCCTCATTCGATCTACTCTTCTAATCCCTTCCCCTGTCTTTCTCTATGTCTCTCTCTACCTCCTATATATCTTCCCCTCTCACCGTGACTACTTTCTCTATCATTTCTCTACCTCTCTTCCTCTCTCTCTCTCTCTCTCTCTCTCTCTATCTCTCATTCTCTCTCTCTCTCCCTCTCTCTATCTCTCCGTCTGACCTATCCGGGGGCCCCCAAGGTCTACCAAATGGAAATGGGAGGGCAGAAAGGGAAGACGTTCCATCCTCATATTTTTGTTCGCCTTCCTCAATCTCAAATCAAGCGCGAAGGTTATGTTCTTATTTTGGAAAAAAGGGAAAGTAGGTTATCAATTTTATCCCCTAATTAGATATCTTGTTACCCTCCGTCTTTCTTCCTAGCACTCAACGTGAGATGAACTTAAAGGTAAAGACCAGTATCGGAAACGCCCCTATTTCAAAAAATGAAATGGAAGCTCTCATTACCAATCATGTGAAAGAATATGTTTTGACTAATACATGATGATACAAAATTTGCCGGGAAACCGCCTACTAATTCATATATTTGGAAAATTTGTTTCTCTCATGGTCTGTGAGAGATATAGGGTAGTCCCATATACATCTTTCTGTGTATAGTGCTTGTAACTTTACAAAGAATGGGCCAAATTTCTTATCATTTTGATGATTCCAGAACCTTGCAGATGCTAGATGCTAGATGATCAACCTTTTCTGATCGATTCCACAACGTTTCTTTCACAATGCAATCGCATGACCATAACTGGTCTTTACCTTTAAAGTCCTATGTAATTCTGACTGAACCATTAGTCACAAACCTTCAAATTAACCTGAGAACATAGCATAGTCAATGTAAATGTCCCTTGAAGTAAGATCTAGAACCATAGTTGAGCCGTAGATTGCACAACTGTTGCCCCTGTAGTTGGTAATGTACCAGGTCATCAACGGATTTTAAATAACAAGTTTTACAAATGCTTTTTTATATTTTTTTTAATTCAATTTAATTCGATTTTGACTTTTTTTCCCGGGATATTTAATATTCATGTTCATGCAAGGATTGTGAGGTATAACTTCAGTCATTCAAGCTACATATAAAAGTCTGTTCAGCTCAGTTGCAAACAATTCCACAAAAATTATTTAAATGTAAGACAAAGAATACATGAAAAATGATTTAGAATAAAGTAAATGTATATGAAACACACATACGTCTTCCAATGAGCTCTGTTAACATTATTTAAAAGAAATACATGCAAAAGAATGATAAACATTGGATAAACTATTATTATGATGACATTCTTTTTCATAAAAGCTGCAATACCATAGCCTAGAATATTTTGAATAGGGAAGAGGGACAAACATTGTCCAAATTAACAACAACAACTGCCTTGAGATATGTCAATTTGCCACCACAAGGTTAACAAAAAAAGTCGCGAAGTTCACAAGGTTTTAGACAATAGTGCTGAGGGTTTCATCGACATAAATTTCAAGATCACAAGGTCCGCGGTTCGAGTCCCGCCGCGGCACTAATGTCCTTTGGCAAGACATTGATCTGCATTTGCCACTCAACCCAGGTGAGGTAAATGGGTACCTGGTAGGACTTCTTGGTAGGATCATTCCTTGAAATGCACTGTGCGCTGATAAGGCTGCCGGAGCTAAAGCAAGGGTAATACATTTCATAGCTCTTCGGAAGCGCATAGAGATGTTATATGCGCTATACAAGAACTGAATTATTATTATTATTGTTATTATTATTCCTTGCGTGAATGGCTTAGCTTCATGGAATCATTGTCTCAATCAAACTCACCATTTTATCATTCCTGTCATCTGGTTAGGATAAAATTTACGAGAAGGGAGTATTTTAGAGACAAGAAGAGAAGAAATTGTGCATAATTAGTTTCACAAACTCTCACCTATCTGCCTCTTTCTCAGTTTTTGTTATCTCTCTCTCTCTCTCTCCCTTTCTCTCCATCTTTCTTTCTGCCCCTGTTTCCTGTTTCCCTTTTGTAGTCTGTCTAAAACTTTCTTTCCCCAACTTCTCCACTCTCTTTCTCC